CACAGAATATACATTTTGTGCAGACTTTTCCCTAGTCAGCCTGTAATGTATCATCTATAAATCCATGCCCATGTCTTGTTTCCATTGAAATTTGGAACATGTTGAGGACCTAACTTTTGTTCTTGGTGGTGTGTGCATTTCATCAGGGATCTTTGGTAAACCAATAAAACAATTATCTTTGCTTTGAATTTACTTCTTTGTGATTAATGGAAAATAGCATTAATGAGTGGCTTAAACAGTATTTTTATATCAAATATCAACAAATAATTTTTTTAAAACTATAGTTTCCAAATGTTCAGAATAATGGCTTCCCATTTACAGTTATATTTTGGCAAAACAACTTCATATTAATTGAAAATGACTAAAACATGCATTCTATTTAGAGAGGCTTATTCACTGAGATTGAACTCCAACAACATAAACTATCTGGATCAAATTACTTAAGTCATTCCTACTGAAGGAGGGGTTGGAAAATTAGAAACTGTGGAATACTTTTTAGCCTTTTCATAAAGCTTTAATTAAACCTGACTTTTGTGAAAAATAAAACTAAAATACAATTATCCATTAAGTGGTCTTGTAGAATATATGTTATAAAATTGTTATAAAAAAAAGAGTGCCCAAAGTATATTTTAATGAAACTAGAGGAATACAAATATAACTGTTGTTTTCCCAGTGATTTTTCTCTCTCAAACGTAAGACATGTAGGACTTCAGAACGTGCTCTTTAATGTGCTCTGATAATAAGAAAACCATTGCTGCTTTTCTCAGAGGAGCACAGTTATCTAGGGGCAATGCCAAAATCATTAGATAAGCCTCATCTTTCCTATCACATCACTGTCTACATGAAATTCCATCTTAGGAAATATGCAAGAATATTAGATTTCCCCGAAGCTTGAAAATACAATAAAATTTGAAGTGTTGAAAATATGATTCTTAGTTGACAGTATCTTAGAAGTTGCAGAAGTATCCATCTCTTTTTGAGATGGCTTTAATAATGACTGACTTTAATAATGTTGGAAAGTAAGGAAAGATTTCAGTAGCAGGCAAGATGTGATGAATGGACACAAGGAACAATGAAGCTATTGACAAAACGTGCTAAGTTCTTAGAATTCTATCTAAATTATTATTTTTTCCTGCCAGTGCAGAGGAAGAAACCCAAGTGCATCAATGTTCATCAGATGTAGGGTAATAAAAATGTGGGCGGGTGACAGTCAATGAACTGTGACTGTAATATGGTTGTTAGTGTAGGTGAGCGAGTGCACCGAAACATTTGTTCCTGTTTTAAAAAGGTCTCTGGCCCTCAGTGGAAATAGGGGAATTTTGTAGAAAATTGAGGCCAAGAGGGAAAGAAGACTAAAAAAAGAATAAAGGAAATTCAGTAATTAAAAAACTATTTGTTTTCTATTTTAGATTTGATTTTAGTCAATTGTTCCTGCGAGCTATTTAGATGAAATAAATGGAATGGCGCTTAACAGGCAGATGCTCTGATACATTTTCTTCTTCAAGGATCTGGTTCCTGGCATTCAAAGGAAACTAGGATTCAAGTTAGTATTAGAACTTGAACTTGTTCTGCCAGAGTGAAAATTGGTTCCATTAGGCGTCAGTCACAGAACTCTTACAGACCTGGCTAGAGCTGTGGTTATGATGTATCCAACTAGCTGAAATAATAAAGTCGTAAGTAATGCTGGATGTGCTTTGGGAAGCCATCCAGGGGGTTTAATTTTTTTTAATGAAAGTTTCCTAATTTTACAGTCCTCATAAATTTGAAACAAATCTGATTAAGGTCATCAGGGTAAATTAAAACTTAATGCCTGACCCTTTGGAGATAACATAATAAGAATAACTTAAAATGCAAAATATTCAGTTGTGTGCAATCTTTAGCACGGATTCATTCCTGGACGTTTTTCTTGCTTGCTTGCCCATACTTCCTTCTCATTGCAGATTTATAGTGCTCTGGGGGAAACGCTCGTACAAAGTGATATATTAGACAGATCTAACCAAAGCTTAAAAGTTAGTGTCTGACTATATAAATAAAAATCTAAACAAAAACAGCCACTAAAAGGAAAATTAACTGTACCTTAAGTGAACAATTGTACCCAATATGGTAAGAGGAATGGGACAAATATGCATGTTTTTCAAAAGTTCATAATTTATTAAATATAGGAGAATTTTAAATAAATCCAATTCATAAGACACATGTGGATTTATGTATATAAATATAATGATCATTCCTAAATTAAATAAAATTGATTGGAACCCTGGGGTGTTCCTTATATGAAAATATGTGATAGCTTTCATTAAATAATGAATTGCATATTATAAAAATTTTTTAAATACTAATAAATAGAATATTAGAGTCAATAGAAAAATTAAAATAAATTTAAATTCTCCTAATTAATTATAGAAATCTGTTTTCTCTTACTTTTCCTTTTGAGCAGAAAATTTGTCAACTTGTTATTTTGGCATCAATTTCTCCTTCTATGTATTTTATTTACTTGTGAACGAATGTTATTAGCTAAATTTTAGTACCAAATACCATAATCATAAAATCTCAGAGATCATGTTTTTTTTTAAAATAAATTTATTTATTTATTTATTTAATTTTTGGCTGCATTGGGTCTTCGCTGCTGCACGCGGGCTTTCTCTAGTTGCAGTGAGCGGGGGGCTACTCTTCGTTGCGGGGCTCATTGTGGTGGCTTCTCTTGTTGCAGAGCACAGGCTCTAGGCGCGCAGGCTTCAGTAGTTGTGGCACGTGGGCTCAGTAGTTGTGGCTCGTGGGCTCTAGAGCGCAGGCTCAGTAGTTGTGGCGCACGGGCTTAGTTGCTCCGCAGCATGTGGGATCTTCCCAGACCAGGGCTCGAACCTGTGTCCCCTGCATTGGCAGGCGGATTCTTAACCACTGCGCCACCAGGGAAGCCCAGAGAGATCATTTTTTGATTTGAATATTAATTCAAATTTAGAAGTATTTATGGATAATTCAGAAAGCTTACTTACTTTAGTTAATTATTTTCTTATTACCCATAGCCACCAGATTTTTAACTTCTTTTGTCTATAATGGCCGATTTTTTTTTTTTTTTTTTTTTTTTCCCCGGGCCCTTTTTTTTTTTTCCCTTTCCCCTTTTTTGGACCGGGCCCCCGGCCCCCGCGGCCCTTTGGCGTCGATGGGG